ATATGATATTTTCGAATAACATTGTTTTTACATGTTTTTCTGTCTCCAGTCAAGCCCCCCCCTCCTATTATCACACTGAAACCGCAGGAGCCATTAGTGATTGATTGGCATTCCTTCTGTGCTGAGCTGGATCTCTCCATGGAAACCTGTGAAGTCCAATATTGGGTTAAGGGAAACCAAGTTTGGCTTAAGGTGTCTTTTCCTAATATTTTGATATGCATCTTTCCCTTTCTTTGACCAATGCCATCACAATTAAATGCAAGCTTAAGCTCTTTTCCACCTTCAACACAGCATGAGGATGGATACCTTCACACCTATACACTTGACAACCCCCTGCCTTGCACAGTCTATGAATTTCACGTTCGTTGTGCATGTAGCATAGGGTTAAAAAGTAACTGGAGTACAAGCCACAGCTTGAGTGCAGCAAAGGGTGAGTCCTCATGTGTTTCCAAGTTGATAACACTCTATTTGGATCCACTTCAAAATTGTTCTTGATATATCTGTAGCTATGAGAGATATGCCAAACTGCTTGTACTAAATCCTCATTATGTTAGCTGCACATTGGTAGTTGTTGCTAGTTCCTGTAGCTCTATTTGTTACCATACAGTAACTGAATAATAAACACCGTAAATATACATATTTTTATACACAGAGTCCAAATCATTATGTGGATTAGCACAGCAATGTTTTAAAAAGTGAAAAAAAATCCTAGATCTACCCCCTTGGTCAAATATGCTCCAAAAGTGGATTGCTCCTTGGCCCTTCCATCAAGTTACATGAAAATTGGTCCAGTAGTCTTTTTGTAATACTGCTGACAGACACACAGATAAATAAACAACTACGATAAATACTAAGCTGGAGCCAGCAGCCAGTTAGTTTAGCATAAAGACAGGAGAGAGGGGAAATCATCTATCCTGGCTCTGCTTATCTGAATTAACACATGGCAATTCATGGTGACTTTTTTCCTCAAACAAAATGTCTTACGTCATTCAGCCCCTAAAGGCAAATTGGATATATGGATGGACTGTGGGCTATTCCCTGCAAGCTTCAACTGTACTCTAACCTGGAAGGTAGGTAAACAAATTATCCACAATCATTATTCTCTGAGTAGAATAAGTAACTGGAATGTCACTTTTTGCACTCTCACCAATTGCTATCTTCTACTGTTCTTTATCCATCCAGATGCTTCCTTTATCCCAGGCATGCGGTGTCATTGTGGGATATGAAGTTAAACTGTTTTACAATAATTCTACATGGATACTGTTGAATGTGTCTACAGCTGAGCCAAGAGACCTGCTGTGGTGCAATGAGACACAGTGCCACCTTAACCACTCTCTAAAGAATGTATCATCAGTCAGTGCATCAGCCCTCAACTCTCATGGTGCCACAGCTCCATCTCATGTAGCTATGCCAACACCAGGTATTTGTCTCCCAGATTTTATGATGGGGGGTGGGAAGGCAGTTCAGAAGAGTCTTAAGTCCCATTCTCTTTGAAACCTGGTGCTAAAATAATTATACAAACTAACAAAGCATTTGTCTCTTGCTTAGGTAAAGATGAAGATGTAAAAACATTAAACCTCAAGATGAATGAAGCGAACCTCACTGTTACCTGGGATCTGACCTCGAAGCCCCTCTATAAACTGAAGGAATATGTGGTGCAGTACAAACAAGTGGGGTCACCTCTAGGCAAAGGATTCGATTGGGTCAAAGTGACCAATAGCCAGACCACAGTGTTTTTTGAAGGTGTGTTTCATTATGATCTTTTTATATTGATAACTACATTTTGAGCTTAATATTCTCTCTGTTGTTTTACATGAAGACTGAACCTTTGTTTGCTATTTTTAAAGTGACTTTTTTACTCTGGTGTGTGTCTCCACCTACAGGTCAATTTAACAAGTATACTCCCTTCCAAGTGTCACTGTTCTCAATATCCCACAGCATGACAGTCCGTCACCTTTCATCAGTCATTGGATATTCTCATGAAGGAAGTACGTATTTGTCTTGGGCTCTGTTTCCCTGTGCTAAATCTGAACGCTCATCTCTCCTCAAACTTTCGTGTCCCTTTCTCAATCACTTTTCAGTTCCCTCCAGTCCGCCATCGTTTCAGGCATTATCTATCGGTGACACTTGGGTGACCCTGTTTTGGTCGGCTGTTCCATTATCCAAGCAGAATGGGGTGATCCAGTACTACCAAATAGGTTTAGGCAAAGAAAACGGTAAATACTGTAACAGTTTACAGTATATTGCAATCATTTANAATTCTTGGGAACTGTTAAACTATATTTGTCTTGGATTATTTTAGCCACATTAGTGGGTCTATGGATGGCAATGTTGGTACGTTTTGGTCTCCAGAGGATATTTCTCATAGATTGTAAATAAAAATGCGCAACATGAGAGTTTCCTAAAAGTGAACCCAAAGCATCTTGCTCAACACTTTGTGGCTGGCTACATAATAGGTCATAAATCCCGCCTCCTTCATGTTAATGTCTGTTTGTTGACCAAACTTAAAAGTCAAAATACAAGTCCTATAAATGATTCTGAAAATAGTTTCTATCATTTTAGGTAGATCATATATATAATGTGTGTCTATGTGCTCATTTTTCCATTTAGTTTGCTTTTAATTAGTAGCTTGTTGTGTGTGTATAGGCGGAACCTCTCTACTGAAGCTCCATCCCTTGATCACTAGACCCTGGCTCCAAATGTGCAAGATAGCAGTGTTCATATCTTTGATATTTTAATGAATACATATATTATTATTGTATAAAAGACAGAAACGATCTGAGTGTTTTGCAAACTGAAGAAATGGGAATGGTTTGTGTCTCTGCCAGCTCTTCTCTAAATAATTGACCTTACTCCAAACTCTTTGTTTCTCCTAGTGAACAATGTGAGTGCATCCCCACAGAGTCAAAATGAGACTTTTAAACTGAAGCATCTGAGTCCAGGTCAGGATTATGAGGTGTGGATAAGAGCTATGAACAAGGCCGGGCCCGGAGCAAATGCCACCACAACGTTCAAAACTCAACAGAGGGAAAATGATGGTACTGCATCACATCACATTAGTCACATTGAAACATGCATTGGTTAAAATCTCATCCAATTTCTTTCTCTTATTTCAGATTATTTAATACTCAAGCTGCTTCTACTAATGTTTGTGGTTATATGTCTTGTGTTATTCTGGTGAGTTTCTCTTTGTTAGTAAATACATATTGACTATCACAAAATAATTTATTGTTGTTCAACAAATCTATAGAAACAGTGAAAATATTTGAACAAACAATAAAGCATTAGGTTGCTCTAACTGGACTTCACTAATCATGTCTATGAAATATTGATGTGAACATTAAACTAAGGAATATATTAAAGTGCATGTTTTTCCTTAGTTAATCTTTAACACGGTGTGGAAGTTGAGATTCTGAAGTCTCTGTCTTATGCCTCTTTTTCATTTTTATTTTTTTCAGTCTTACTTTTTTGTATGTAGCACTGAACAAAATGTGTCCATGGGTGGCTTATTTGTTCAATGAGAAAGTGCCAGATCCCCGCAACAGCCACATCTTCAGAGGGATGAAGCACCAGGTGAGAAACTGATAGAAATGATTTCTCTTTGAGCCTTGTTTAATGAGAACAGAGTTCACACTGAATGTCGAGCCTGAATAATGCCATTATTTTTGTTTTTCTACTCGTTATGGCTTATCCTGATGTAGTGAAGTCCTGTTTCCTAATATGTGTTTACAAATAGTGGCAAAATCTTATGGGGGGGGGTTACCCATTCAAAGTAGTATAGAAATAGATATAACAGGGTTTCGTTAGGTTCTTAAAAAGTAAAAAAGGCTAAAATGTTATCAACTGAATTTATGTCCCTAAACACTGCATATAAAATACATTTAAGGAATGTCTTAATTGTGTTAATGTTCATTTAAATATACTTCGGTCAAACTTAAAAATATGTAACAGATATTAGCACGCTGTAATAAAACAAATAAGACTAATATGGAACTCAAAACTGATACAAACATCAGAGTTTATCGCAGCACATTAGGCTTGGCTGTGGGAAAGACTATGAATAGTTTTAAAGGTTAATCTCTACTTCTTCTTCTGTTGTGCTTGACATTGATCTTTAGTTGTATTTATCTTGTTTTAAAAAAAAAGTCATTGCATTTCACTTGTTAAAACCTGCAGAAACCTTGAGTAAAACCAAGGGACAGTCGATTGATATAAATAGTTTAATGTGTGGGAAACATTTTAAGTGTAAAAGTATTTTTGGTCCTTTTTGAAACTTGCAGGCTGCCACAGTCTAGGTAACTAATTGGAAACACTGGTGTGTGTGATCTTCCCGTAGATTAATGACCCATTTGCTTTGATCTGCATACCCATCCACGAGCCACTTCCCAATATCTCTGTTCTGGAGGTTGTTAAAATCCTGCCTGATGCTTTGAGGTCCACCCCAAAGGAGACCTCAGACCAAGATGAGTTCACTGGGCCATTGGGGAGAGATGGGATTTCACGAATGAACGGCCAAGATGAGCAGAGCAAGGATGCTGTCACAGGGGAGGGTGGCAGGACAGACCGCAGATATGGACGAGAGGAGTACAGCAAGATGGTCGACTCTGATGAGGAGAGGGACAGAGAGAAGGACAAGGATGATTGTTGGAGCTCATCAGAGGAAGACCAGTTTACATCAGGTTATGAAAAGCACTTCATGCCCACTGCTTTGGAAGTACTGGAAGTTTGATGATGTGTCCATATTGCTCAGTGGACATTTACCTCAAATGTGTTTTTATTATAATGCTGAAATTACATTTTTAGATGATGACCTCTGGGCAGGTTTCTATAGCCTTCCTCTGCAGGACCCTGGAGGCTGGACATGTTTATTCTGATATTTGATTCATGATTTAATCATCATGTTGGTTTCCTGTTTCAGTTACAATATGTGTAGTTCCCCATTTTGTCTTTGTCTTGAGTCTGGTTGTGAGAATAAAAAGCCAAAATATGTTTTTTTAAGAGGCAGAAATTATAAAAATGTTTCTACAAACAGACAATGTGGTGGGTGTGCAGTGAATTATATATTATAACTAAAACAAATCCACATATTAATCCTGGCAGGAACCCTAATATACTTAAGTATGCATGATGCAGGTTTTAAAGATGGCCCATTTTAAATGATATGATCATCAAAATGTGAATATAATATTTCTGGAATGGCGCTCAGTAGATCGCATTGACCTGCCAAGCCAAACAGTCCTATGTCTGTCCAGGAAAAAGAAAGTAGTGTGATCATCCCATAGACCTCAACACCGAAAAATACAGTTTTGTTATTTATGTAAAGATCCATCATGCAAATGTATGGGACTAATAGAGGATGGTCTTATTAAATTTTATCTTATACTTTATTTAATTAGTTTTCTTTGGCTCATTCAACATCACTCAACAAGGTTTGGTGCAAATCAGTTGAGGACATTTCATGCAGTCGTGTTATCAGACAAACCAACCACAAAGAAAAAAACCCCCACCTGAACATCAGTCGAGGTCACAAAAAAATTAACCAAATGCATTTAAGTTTTATTATAATCTTAAAAAGTTATGTCTGGAATGTCTTGATAAGGCGTGTTCAGCATATGTTGCAAATAATCAGAAACTTTCAGATTATTATATAAAACATTATACAGTCATAATATAAAAAACATCCTGCGGAGATTCGAATTATAAAAGAAAACATTTCCAGGCATTTCATTCAAACGTTAGATTCTTATTTGTGGTTTGTTTATGGATCTAAACTGATTTTGTTTAGTGTGTAAATGTGA